CAGCAGCAGCAGCAGCAGCAGCACCACCACCACCAGCAGCACCACCAGCAGCAGCAGCAGCAGCAGCACCACCACCACCAGCAGCACCACCACCAGCAGCAGCAGCAGCAGCAGCAGCAGCAGCCCCACCCCCACCAGCAGCACCAGCAGCAGCAGCAGCAGTGAGAGCAGAGATGCGCCACGCTAGGCCCGGCTGCCGCAGCACCGCACCACGACGACGATGGCGAAGGCAGTGACGACGACGAGGAGGAAGGAGAACAAGCACTGGACGAACCGCGTACGCGACGTCATTGTGCTGTCCGGCGCCGAGACCGGCATCGAACAATCGAACGCCATCATCGTCAAAGGTACGCGCGCGAAGCACTGGTGTGACCTCTGACATGACCTCTGGCATGACCTCAAATATGACCTATGACATGACCTCTGACTTTACATCTAACATGGCCTCAGGATCTGACATTACATCGAACATAACCTCTGACTTGACCTCTAACATGACATCTAACATGACCTTTAACATGACATCTGACTTGACCTCTAACATAACATCTAACATGACCTTTGAGGCTTTGACATGACATCTAACATGACCTTTGACATGACATCTAACATGACCTTTGACATGACATCTAACATGACCTTTGACATGACATCTAGCATGACCTCTGACATGACAACTAACATGACCTCTGACATGACCAACTAACAGGACCTGTGACATCTGACATGACATCAGGAATGACCTCTTAATTGACCTCTGACATAGCTTTTAATATGACCTCTGACATCACATGTAATATGACCTCTAACTTGACTGCTGACATCACGTGTAACATGACTTATGGCATGTTATTGTGCTTGACCACTGGTCAGACCCGCGAGAGAGAGAGAGAGAGAGAGAGCGAGAGACGAAAAGATAAAGCGAAAATAGTTAATAATCGAATAAATCACATCACATCCTGTTAATATCATATCTTCCCCTTGCCCTCCACAGGTGGCGCTGACGTCGGTCAGTTTGCGTGGGTGGGCGAGGCCAAGCAACACTGCCTCAACTACCACAGCGGGGCGCTGGCGGTCGATGACATCATGCTGGAAGTGAATGGACAGAAGGTGGCCGGCCTGACGCAGGCAGACGTACAGCGATGGCTGCACCACTGCGCAAAGCAAGCAACTCGGGGTTTTTTTTCCCCATCTCATCCGCTGTGTGGAGGACCCGACGGGTGAGTGAGGGGAGGGGTAGGGGAGGGAGAGGGGGAGGAGGGGGAGGGAGGGAAAGGGGAGGGATGGAGAACGGGTGGCGGCTGGACGCAGGCAGACGTTCAGCGTGGCTGCACCATCTGCGCAGCAACAACGGGTCCCATCCTCATCCGCTGTTGTGAAGCCGACGGTGGTGAGGGATGGGAGAGGGAGGTGGAGGGGGAGGAGGACGAGAGAGGGAGGAAGGGAGGGTGGAAGAAAGGTGGCGGGCCTGCACGCAGGGCAGACGTTACAGCGTGGCTGCACCACTGCGCCAAGCCACAATGGTCCCATCCTCATCCGCTGTGTGAGCGACGGCTGAGTGGGAGGGAGGGAGGGGAGGAGGAGGAGGAGGAGGGGGAGGACGGGAGGGGAGGGATGGAGAAGGTGGCATGGGCCTGGCAGCCGACGTACAGCGTGGCTGGCACCACTGCGCAGCCAACCATGGTCATCTCATCCGCTGATGTGAAGCGCGACGGTGAGTGAGGGGCGGAGGGAGGAGGGAGGGGAGGACGGGAGGAGGGGGGAAAGGAGGGGATGGAGAAGTGGCCGGGCCTGAGCGCAGCGGACCGTACAGCGGATGCCTGCACATGCGCAGCCCAACACGGTCCCATCCTCACTTCGCGCTGTGTGAGGCCCGACCGTGTGTAGTGAGGGAGAGGAGGAGGGGAGGAGGAGGAGGGAGGGAAGGGAGGATGGAGAAGGTGGCGGGCCCTGACCAGGCGGACGTACAGCGATGGGCCGGGCTGCACACCTGCGCAGCCAAAACGGTCCATCCTCATCCGCTGTGTTGAAGCCGACGGTGAGTTGAGGGAGGAGAGGGGGGAGCGAGGAGGGAAAGGAGGGGGAGGAGGGAGAGGGATGGAGAAGGTGCGGGCTGACGCAGGCAGACGTAACAGCGATGGCTGCCACCATCTGCCGCAGCCAACAATTGTCCATCCTCATTCCGCTGTGTGAGCCGACCGGGGGTGGGGAGGGGGGGAGGAGGGAGGGGAGGAGGAGAGAGGGAGAGGGAAGGGATGAGAAGGTGGCGGGGCCTAAGACGCAGGAGGTCGTACAGCGATGCTTGCCATGTCGCAGCAACATATGGTCGCATCCTCATCGGCTGTGTGAAGCGACGGTGAGTGAGGGAGGAGGGGAGGGAGGGAGCGAGAGGGGGAGAGGGAGGAGAAGGCGAGGGAGGAGAACGGTGCGGGCCTGGACGCGAGGCAGACGTATACGCGGATTGGCTGCACCACTGCGCAGCAAATGGTCCATCTTCATCAGCTGGTGTGAAGCCGACGGTGAGTGAGGAGAGGGGAGGGAGGGATGGGAGGAGGAAGAGAGGGGAGGGAAGGGAGGGATGAGGAAGGTGGGGGCCTGACGCAGGCAGCGACGTACAGCGATGTGCACACTGCCGCAGCAACAACGGTCCCATCCTATCGCTGCTGTGAGCCCACGGTGAGTGAGGGAAGGGAGGAGGGGAGGGGGAGAAAGGAGAGAGGAGGGGGGGAGGAGGAGTAGGAGGGGAGGGAGAAGGTGGGCCGGGGCCTGACGCCAGGCCAGACGTACAGCGATGGCTGACCATGCGCAGCAACAACGGTTCCCATCCTCATCGCTGTGTGAAGCGCCGGTGGTGAGGGGGAGGGGAGGGGGAGGGGGGAGGGGGAGGAGGGAGGGAGGGATGGAGAGGTGGCGGGCCTGAAGCACGGCAGACGTACAGCGATGGCCTGCACACCTGCGCAGCAACAACGTCCATCCTCATCGCTGTGTGAAGCCACCGGTCGAGTTGAGGGAGGGAGGGGAGGGAGGGGGAGAAAGAGAGAGGGGGGAGGGGGAGGAGGGTTAGGAGGAGGGAAGAGGTTAGTGGGGGCTGACCAGGCAGACTACAGCGATGGCCTGCACCATCTGCGCAGCAACAACATGCGCATCCTCATCCGGCTGTGTGAAGCCGACCGGTTGAGTTGAGGGATGGGAGGGGAGGGAGGGGCGAGGAAGGAGGAGGGAGGGAAGGGAGGGAGTGGGTTGGAGAGGAGGGAAAGGTGGCTGGGCTGACGCGCAGGAGCGATACAGCGAATGTGCTGCACCCACTGCGCAGCCAACAACGCGTCATCTCATCCCGCTGTGTGAAGCCGACGCGTGGTGAGGGAGGGCGAGGGAGGGGTAGGAGGGAGAAGGAGAGAGGAGGGAGGGGAGGCAGGGTAGAGAGGAGAGGA